GTTGTTCTGCTTTGCTCGCCATTGTTCCTCGAGACTCAGTCATAGCTGGTTCTAATTATGGGTGGCGTAATTTCAATCGTGTTGGCAACTGTTGGAAAGAAAGATCGATAGGAAGTTAGTGATTTGTATCAGTGATTCGGAAAACGAGAGATGATTGCTAACCTCCATGGTTGTGAAGGGATTCAATATGGGCCAGAATTAGTAAACACTGAATTTGGGTTGACTTTAGGCTTCCTGTTACGATTGGTATTGCCACACTGAGCTGTTTGTTTAGTTTGCTCGTGTGACAGCTGCAGCTTCAAAGAAGGGAGCCAACTCCATGACAGAGTTGACTCTAACACAAGCACAAGGGCTGTGATATGTCCGCACGGGGTACCTGCACCAAGAGGTGCTCGGAAGTTTTGGTAGCAGATTTATTCTCGATTTGATCTTCTACTGTGTCTTTTCATAGTGTGAGTTAAATGAGAGTCTGATCAAAGTCACGCCTAAATATTTTGGCGTCATTTCTGCAGCATGCGTAGACCACAGACTGTACTATGAACTTCTCCCTGGCCAGTCGGTTGTTCAGGTGACAGGCCGTCTCCCTAGTCTTGGTCGGGTTTGGGTATAGTTTCCATCGGTGAAAATATTGCTTCAGAATAACGGTCAGCCGTAACTGTCCAAATTAGCATCTACAAGCAGGCATGCTTGACGGCTAGTGCGATATCGTAAGCATAAATAAACTTATTCGTCCCTGTGCGTGTGAAGTCATGAGCATGTGTGAAACGGCAAGCATGTGTAACTGCACTGTGTTAGTGTCAATCGTTAAACATCACTTCCTTACTGATTCGCCGATCGATGGTTCAGTACCGACGGTTGTCATCTATGGCGACATGGCGACTACTCTACAACCTTTGAACGAGACCATCAGGCCGGATTATTTCATAAGCCAGCCGATGATAAGTAGATTAACAAAACCACAACTACCTTTTGCTTCTGTTTGAACTCCTGCCTCTATCGAACTGGTAAGCAAAAGAAATTGCTTGCAACAGCTGCCCCCAAGACAACTTGATCTTTCGATTAAGGGAAATAGCAGTTCACAAACTATGGCACCTTTGATGGTTATGCTACGAATCGTTTCTAAGCTCGTAATCCTTAAAATTCTTAGAGAATTATGTTCATTTTGATCGCGTTTATTATATATTCTAGGTTCTGCAAGTAACTCAGGATCCAGTCCAGTCTAAGGTAACCGACAGATAACTTGGATTCTGTTTGCTGGATGAAGCTGTATCACAAAGCTTCAAGTTGATCATAGCTGTATCTTCACGGTTATTCAGACGACAAATTACATGCATTGGATTTCAGGCACCAACTTGTGAAATCTGTCTCTAGCGAATCGACGTCTATTAAGGAACCTTCTCCTCCTTCCGATTTACAAATGCGAATTTACGCTATGATAGTCCAGACGTAACGTAGGTTGAGTAAAACCGGCAGTAGCTAATACACCTTCGGTTTGCAGAGAATGTTGTATTGCTGGGAAAGAAAACAGTAAGAAACGTAAGCCATTTTAATGGATCTGGAATTGAAGAAAAACCCAGCCATACTTTGGATAAACGGAGCGGCAACGAAGATGAAGATAAACAAATTTGCAAACATATCAGAAGTGCATGACACTTCACTGATTCACATGCGCGCCTTTATTCTGCTAGTAGTTGTTCAGTAATAATCAACATACCAATAAAGGTCACACAATACCACTGAACAGTAACGTCCCAATTTACATTGTTCATGAGTCTGCCAACTGTCAGTCCGATTCCAAGCTAAGATAGTTCTTTCTTGATCAGCGCGTTACTGAGCCAATTAGTTTTCAGATGATAAAGTTTTGGTCGTCTTTCCATAGAAACTACTCCTTATACAAGGGACCGTAACGCTCATGGATTACTGGATGGTAACTCATAACTCACTAAGTGGCGCATCGCTCTTAACGGCGGCTTAAGTGACACGATATATGTTATATGATCCGTAGTGCCGCCACACCATAACCAAATCGAATTACTAGTCAAAGTTCTGATCAGTAATAGCGAGACGGCATACTGGTCAGATGGATATTCGAATATTCGAGACCGCTACAAATGACTACTAAATGGAGGAAGTCACTGAGTATGTCTAACGGGGACGGCAAACTGTCTCAGACCACCATGTCGGTCCAGAGCTCGTTAGAAGGTGTAATGTACAATGGTGCATTAATAAAAGAAACAGATCTTTGAAAACAGAAAATCGACAGTTGTGGTTAGAACTGCATCGCATGAACGAACAGTATCATCAGCAAATTATATACGACTGCAAGTCTTTGCTACTAATGAAAAAACATGGGGTAAAAAATATGCAACGAATTTCTATTATTTTTCTTTCGATTTGAAAACATCAAACAACAACAAATGTCGCAGAGGACTTCGAAGCGCTTCTCTCTACTTCACTTACCCTTACGCCCCGTGAATTACTAATGAGATTGGACAATGCTTTCTACAGTTAAGAAATACGATATGCACTTTGGTCATTAATATCTACCCATAGTTTATTAACTGCATTACACCAAGTAGTTATTACGATGCTGTGATGCCAAGCGAGTCAACCTGCCGCAAATTTTGACTCCAAAACTGTGAGTTTAGCATTAAGCTTAAGAGCATAATTTCAGTGTTCGCTGCTAAAGCGCTCGAAGCGAAAAATCACCACTGTTCTGCGACTTTTGTTGGATAATCCAGCCACTCTAGTGTGTTCATCATTTCGTTTCTAACCCTTCTATAGTTTTATTATTATCCACTGCTTTTTAACTTGTTATCAAGTTTATTTTATTTAGGATGAAAAGGAGGATTCTCCAACTATCATGATCAAGCAGTAAATTTTCAATTCTCTTGAGCGATGAAGCTTATGCATCAATTATTAAGCAAAAATGAAATTCTCACTGAGTTGTTTTATCGGTTTCACCACGAAATATGCAAAATCCACCAATTTTAGTGAGTTCATTGCGAGGTCAGGCAGAGAACAGCACATCTTTTGCTGTCTCATTCGAATCAGCATTCAAATCCCACTGATTCGCTGAGGCTTCACATTGATTTCAAACGCACCAACGCCTCTTGTGAAGAGGAAAGGAGAAGAGTTCCATCTCTCGACCATAGTTTACCGGTGATGTACGCACGACTAGCAGCTGAAAAGTGAAAACGGATATCGCAAAAAACTGCAGATCATCCCTTACAAACTGTAGAACATTTCGTTTCATAAAGCATCCATTCATTGACGTCAAAGATTGGCTGATGAAACCAAACGCAGTGGCTTAAAGAACCAAGACCGGAAATGAAACGAAGCTTTTTGATATGCGGTCGTAAGGCAGCTGCGATCATCAATGTGTCTGATACGAAGCAAGCATGTGCATGGTGTAAGAAAGAACTACCCGGCTCTAAAACGTTTCTAAGCATAATAACAACAGGCTCGAACTGCAACTCACCCACGAGTTCTTTGACTTTAATCCAGAAGATACAATGTGGCTCAAATGTACTGGACGAAGTGTAGAGCTGCTCTTCAACTTCTCTACTTTCCAACAACTTCGAAAAACCACTGGTCAACATCCTAACAATCGCCGAGTCGATAGGGTTGGAAGTAATTCGTCTAAAACGTCATCTGAAACCGCACATGACCGAAATCCTTATATTTATACTGAACATGCTTTTTGAACCACATGTCATAGGCCAGTAATTGTTCAGGACCTGGTACAACAGGAATTTTTGTGCTGTGTCCTAAATCGGAGGCACTTTGGCACTAAAATCATGCCTTGATAAAAAAACAAACATTTTGAGTATGATTACTTTACGAAGCATCAATTTGGCCCTCGCAATCAGACTGTCATTCTGTAGAATATTGACAGAAAATATGCTATGAGGGCTACCACCATCTGCTGGCAGAACTCTGTACACCACTGGATGCTTTATATATCCTAAAACGAGTCATGGAAGATTTGCATAAATGGCTGCTCAACAAAATGAAGATACAGTCCTATCAAACGGCAGTCCTGACAACCGAAAAGAAGTCTAGAAAAAATTCAGTTTTAACGTACATCAGAGCAACTTGAAGCTATTTATTCAACTGTAATAAAAAAGTTCTTGATTTAACAGTTACAGACAGAAGGCTTCCCCAAATTCCACATTTAGAACTACAACTGTTATCCGTCATTAAGATGTAAATACACATACACAGTATGATTTGATGCTTAACAATGTGGTCGTCATCAGAAATGTTCGCTTCTAATTAAAGCTGTCAGCTCACTTTGAATCCCCTCTGTCTCTATAGTCGGTGAATTGGAAGATTTCTTCTTTGAATCACTCGGTATGAAATTCTGAAGAAATAAACACAAAGTAATACAATAGTTCTATTCTGATACTAAACTAACGTTTGAGTATGTATCTCCCAAGCGTACAAAATGCGCAAAGCTAATCATCGCATAAGTTACTGTGACTGTGTTTGGAAGTGTCACAAGCAGTACTGAATCTTTTCAGCAATACTAAAGCGAAATCTTCCATGAAAACAGTGAGGATGCACCGATATAGTCCTGACTAATAAATAAATTCAATAACTCGAAGACTACAAAATATTTTGACCGTGCCTTTGTGTCATACGGAAAATACAAAATGACCAGTGGCAATAAATTGCTGCAGACGCTGCGGCTTGTAGTCACAGGTGATTATCAAGATACGATGGATGGCTGGTCGAACTGGTTATTCCCGACCAAAAAAAGCAACTTCAGTGAGAAAACAAAATTCAATAACAATAAATGCAGCAACAACAGCAACAGGCAAACAAAATCTAAAGCTCAGAACAAGCATCAATAACGGTTTACGCCCTGATACTTATTAAAGGGATCGCCACAAATTTAACCTGAGTGACCACGATGCAGAGAATATTACTAACGCATGGGATCATATGGAAGGGCGAAACAAGATAGACCGAATGTTCCTGAGCCGCTACAATGGTTGAATGTTTTTCACTGCTCCCGAGATATATTCTAAAGAGAAAAATGTTACCCGCAGCTAACAAACTTCCATGTCATCTACACGGTTGTATCTAAAAGGTAGTCTGACTACAAACCTGGACATAAAAGTAAAGCAACTGATCACCGTCTGCATTCTACTCTGATGAAAAAATCATGTAACCAAAGAATTCCCATAAGTTTATCACAAAATAGATCTTTAAGGCTAAGTAATGCTTTGCCTGCTAATGGAACCGGTTCGTCTAGCACTGAATTTTTCAGGCTGACAGGTGACATGCCGAGAAATGTGGCGCAAGGGATGCGGTCAGATTAGACATTTTGTGTTCATCTTCTCAGAAATACGACCACACTACTGTTCGAATTCTGGAACTATTTCGCTGGTCTCTAATGTTGCTAAAATCTAGCTATTAATAAGTTTGAGTAAAACGCGCAAAAACGTTAAGGTTGACGTCGAGTGTCGTCGATCAGGTAGGATTCTGATTCAAAAAAGATATAAGGGAACATATCAAGAACATAAAAGTTGTCAACTAAAACACGAATTCAATCAGTCATCATTTTTCTGCCCTGTGATTTCGTTAATGTTTTCATGTCTGCGGGAAATAGGCCTTGTAAAACACTAACGCAAGACCCTGAACACAGGATTTCCGTCGCGCAAAATCTAACCTTTTTTGAAATGTACAACAAAAAGCAGAGTAAAAATATCGGCTCTGAGAATGTCTTATAGATTCTGTTTAAACAAAATCAGTCTACTAAGCAGATGTAGTCGCCAACATTGTTTAAATTATTGAACAAGTATTGTATCACAAATTTCGGACAGTTGCCTTGGAATTTTCAAGATTTAATGAAAACCGAACACAAAGTTGTAACATGTAACCTTAAATTCAGTCTAATGTCGTTACAGCGATGCCAACGGGCGAAACTGACTCCCAGGTCGAATCACGAAATCGAAATCAAGGTAATACCGTATGCTGATTACTACAGTAAATGATCGGGTATCCAGTTGGTCAAAGTGAAGTGCTGCCACTAGGGAACGCTTGCATCGGAAAGCATGCCGGTACACATTGTCCATTCTGGCATGAATAGATTAAAATGCCACACTGTCCCGATTTTTCGTAAGTCACCGACTAACTACATATTTCTTGGCTGGATGCGCTGAATCAACACGGGGGTAATTTCTTGCTCACGCAATTAGTGGTAAAAACAATGATTGTCCGTTTAGCGGATTCGAAACCGGAACCTCAGGAGTCGACCGAAATCGACCGAACATGGCCCCTAGCCAATCGATTAAATTACAGTGAATCATTACAGAAAGTGTTATTTCTTAATCTCAGTTCCGTCCAGCAGAAGCAGATCCACCGGCTGAAGAAGAGCATAATGCCAGCATTGTCAGAAGCCACAATTCGCTGGCACAGCATTTCTAATGCTGAACAGCACGAATGACGACTGTGTTCAATCATGGAAAAAACTCATGGCTGCAAAAGAAAGTTCGTTAACGTCTAAGGACAGCAAGAAATAGCATAAAATTATTAACGAGAATACGACAGTCGCAGCACCAAAAGCTACAGCCTGAGACTTGCAAAATCAGATACTGGTAGGTTGCAAATACCAATATGGAAGTTTGACATCAAACAAACAAGTCGCAAATCCCCTAAAGGGTCTGAAATATCCAACCAAAGACAACTCCTTCGAATCTTTCGAAAGAGAATCTAAATTAAATGAATGTGTTATAATGCAAGTTAGCACTCAACAACTGCTGGAAAGCTGTTAAAACTAAGATATTCTGACACGTTACCGAGAAGGAATATTGCCTGAATGTCTGAAGAAAATGGTACTCTGGTGCTTGATTACAGGATGGAGATCTAGAAAGAAAAAAGATGCCAGAATAACGATTTCATACACAGGAGAAAAGTAAACACTACGGAATGATGACTACACAGTATTAGGATTACATTAAATGTAAAGAGGGAGATTCCATCACGCATCCATCCCATCTACGAATTACCTGACCGCCTGACTGAACTAGACTAACAGATAACCCTGTTTCGCTATATTTCCAGATTTATTAATTCGATATACCAACTGTGTTGCCTTAAATATAAACCTGGGTTTAACTCTAATCCAAGAAGCCATCATCATGTTTCATGACCGTTTCTATTTTCGGGTCACCAAGACAGAGGCATCAGACAGTGTTAGCAACGTTTTTGATCCTGTGCCAGAGTCAGAACTTCACTAGAACACAACGACGTCTGGTGTCCTTCCTTACATTTGCACCAGGATAATTTTAGACGTCCTCCTGGACTTTTGCCGGTGGGTTTGGCAAGAAA